TCGTCAAAAGGAACTCAGACCTGGAAAGGACGGTAGAGATGCAAAGGGAGGAAATAGACCGGCTGAATAGGCGCGTAGGGGAATTGTATGAGGAAATGTCTGGGCTGAAAAGGGCAGAGCGGTTTGGCGCCTTAATAACTATGGCAACGTGGGCTAAGGAGTCCATCGTGGACTTTATGAGATATCCTCTGTAATCTATTAAATCATTATTAAATTCTTATTATATATGGAGTGCTCGGATTGCAATAAGGCGTTTAGCAGCAAGCAGATGCTACAGTACCACGTTTCCCATAATGTATGTAAGAAAAAGAAGTTGGTCTGCGACGAGTTATGCTCGAAGATGTTTAGCAGCAAGCAGATGTTGAATTACCATACTTCCAAGGAGGTCTGCAAAAAGGCAAAATTAGTCTGCGGCCATTGCTCAAAGAAGTTCAGTAGCAAGCAGATGCTGCAGTAGCACGTTAAGAATAGGGTCTGTAAGGCCTGCAAGTATTGCGACGAGAATGACCTATGGCATAGAGCAAGGTGTACTTTCATGTACACGTTTGACGACGAACCCTACCTTATCCACGGGGACATTAAGTGGCGCTGCTGTAGGACAGAGACCATCAGGGAATTAGTGGGTAGAAAGAAGGAGATAGACCAGCGGTTCTTCAACTTTGATAAGGCCGAAAGGATTCCTTGGGAGAACAGGCGGTATTGGCAAGGGACATGCAAGAAGTGCGGTTGCATAAGGGAGGAACAGCATATTTGGCAGTGTTTGTACGTCGAGGCTGACCCCAAGGGATTCAAAGAATGGGAAACTATTCTGATGAAGGCTTAATATTTATTACGTTATTATTGTATTCTTATTAAGGCAGATTGGGAAACCCTTTTAGGGAAGGGCCATTATTTATTATTGTCCTATTAAGGAATCATTATTTTGGGAAACCCTCTCAAAGAAGGGCTATTATTATTCGATTCTCATTGCATAAGCAATAATAAATAATTAGACTTTTTTTCAAACTTTTTTTGGTTGTTCTAATAAACGATGAATATTGAGCCTTCCTTAAAAGGGTTTCCCGCCTCAATAAGAATACAATAATAACGTAATAAATATCATGCCTTCCCTAAAAGGATTCCCAATCTGCCTTAATAAGAATGCAATAATAACGTAATAAATATCATGCCTTCCCTAAAAGGGTTCCCAGTCTGCCCTAATAAGAATACAATAATAACGTAATAAATAATAGCCCTTCCTTAAGAGGGTTTCCCAACCTTAGATATATGGACTGCATCACATGCGAACTCCCGGCGGACTGCCTTCCAACCAAGGAACCCACAAAAGAACCCACCCCCAAGCCCCGCAAGAAAGTCACCTTCTCGTCCCCCGAGGCGGCGCGAAAAAAATACGACTGCCTTCATTGTGGCAGTACTTTCTTAAGAGAAGCCTTTGGCGGCCAACCCAAAGGCACATACCTTTAACCATGTAGAGGAGACTCCGGCTCGTACTTAACTACGTCGAATACCCACTTGCCGTCTATCTTACCATGGCTCATAATATGGGTAACCTCCTGCCCTTCTATGGTGTACCTCATCCTATCAGGCGCCCACAGGGTGTATGTCTTTTTTTCGCCTTTCAGTACCAGGCGCATTCTATGAAAGACCACGTAATTCTTTATCTCGAAGATTTCCCCCACCGTCAGCTCCCTCCAATGTGTTTGTACCAGCTTCAGCGCATCGAACTTATCCTTATTCATCATATATCTTATGAAATGTTTTATGATGTGTGTCCAAAGTGACCAAGAAGTCCAAGACTTCTTGCAGCATCGCCGGCAGGGCAGTCTTATCCCCTGGGAATATTTCATAATACTTCGCGTGATTAGATCGTAGTCATTACAAATCATCACCTTAAACCCATTGGTCTCATAATGCGACAGCATTTGCTGCTGCGCTTCAGATAATACTCCATTCCCCTTGGGTGTCTTCAACTCCAAACAGAAGCCATTGTATTCCTTGTGGGCGTTCAAAATCATCAGATCTGGCTGCCCTCTTTGGTATCCTTTTTGCCAGCACTTGATTCTCTTGTCTGAGGTATCCTGCAGTTCTCCGAAGCCGGCAACCACCAACAGAGAAGGGTAAAACCTCCTTATGTAATCTACGACCTTCTTATGCAGATCAAATTCGTTCTCTATCTTGAATACTAATTTATTGGGGCCGTCAAAGCGCCCGTATTGCCCTGCCTTACGCAGCGCGGGCAGGACTTCTTCGAATACCCAATCGCGGAACTCTATGGCCTTGGGTAGCTTAGAGCTGAATATTAACTCGTAGAGACCAGGTTCGGATACGTACAGGGAATGCGGCTGCGCGTTAGGGGGGAGGCGGGCTGCCTCCCCTTGTAGTTTGCTCAGTCTTTTCTTGTATTTGTCCGAGACATGCTTCTTGATAGCATCCTTATGGTCTACGTATTCCAACGCCAGGGCCACCTCCTTTGCTTTGAAGTACAGGTTTTCGCCTTGCACTATGCATTGCAGTGTCGTGTCGTCTTTGCAGAAGTTGCGTAACATGGCATATTAGTCAAATATTTTAATAAGCAACGCTCTTTAGCTGATTCATTTCTACGCTTAGCTGCGCGTCACTAACCATGAAGACGTAGCAGTTTATTTTGTCGCCGTCGCCCGCGGAGGTATTCTTTGTGCGCTTGATCTCCAAAGTAATGCCATCCTGGGTGTTGACCAGCCGCAGACCCTGGCCATGCATGCCCTCGTCGTTGGTAGTGCGCATGTCGATCCACAGCGCGTACTTGTCCGTGAAGAATTCCTGGGGACTAATTTGGTCGCCAAACTTGCGCATTGCCTCCCTGTAGATGTCCGCAGGCTTTATTCCCTGGGAGTAGACCTTGTTGGGTATTCCGTTGATATTGACCCCCACGTTAGTAATGCCGGGGTTGTGGAAGGCTTCGCTGTTGCGCTTGCCGGCCTCGTAGGGCTTAGCAAACACCAGCATCAGCCCCGTTAGGCTACGCCTGGGGAGGTTAATGCTTTGGTTGATAACCTCGTCCGTCTTATCCAGGAAGCTAAATGTCTTGTACATCACTACGTGGTCGTACAGGAATGCCTTTCCGGCGCTATACTCAGCACCCGCACTGCGGGCCAACTCCTCGCTGTGCACCGTTTCGTACTGCAGCTCTAATTTGGTGATAGAATAGGGATCCACGGCCCCGCTAATTGCGGTGGACATCTCTCCAAGGATGTTGGTCGTATCGGCCAGGGTTACTTCGAACTGCAGTTTGCTTAATTGCCTGGGGTAGCACGCGCCATGGTTAGTAACCACTTCGAAATCCAAGGGTATGACATACTTAGTCCCATAGGCCGGCTTTATTCGCTTTGCTTCGGCCACGGCCGTTTCTCCGCTGGAGTCCGTAGGTTGCGTCTTAACGAGCGTGGAACCTTACGTAGGACGAGGCTACCAATTCCTTGTTCTATCCTTTGCGCGCGGTCAAACGCAGTCAACCATAGGTCCTTGTACGTGGTGTACAGGTCGTATCTGTTCAAATCTAAGAGGGATTCCCTGGCGAATTTAACCCTCATCTTAGAGACTAAGTTGCGGCCTATGTTATTAACGCAACACTTTTCATCCGCGGTACTGGGCTGCACCGTTAGGTCAAACCTTAGCGCTAACGTACCAGGGACTAAGACTAAGTTATCCGTTAGGCGGGGTACGCCTACGTACAAGGTTTCTCCTGGCTTTGCGCTGCTGGAGGTAAAGGTAACCCTATGAAAGGTGCGTTCTGCCTTTAGGCCGCCGACCTGCTTAGGTAGTACGTTGGGGTTTAACTTTTAGCTTATCATATATAATGGAAGTAGAAGGAACGGATTTTGACCCCACCACCGAGGAAGGCCAAGTAGACATTAACGACGAAGAATACGAGTCCTTGCTTCCCGACGGCGATGTGGACACCAGGGGATTCTTCGATGATCTCAGGTATAGGTTCGGGGATGCGTGGCGTATGGGGGCCGAGCGCCTATCGGCGATGTGGCAATCAAAGAACCCAGGGAGATCTTGGAGTATTTGGAATTGCGAAACTTGGATGCAATACTGAGAGGAACCCACAGACGTAAGGACTGAAGCGCAAAGAGAGATCTTCGACAACTTAAGGGAACGATATCCAAACATGGACCTGGCCCGTCTTGAGTTCCAATCGGGGGATAAGGGTCAGATTCAGGTCAAGTACTCAGGGAAAAACACATGGTATAATTTGTATCAAAGAAGAAACCCCGCCGGCTCAACAACAATCTCACGAAAGAAATCGAAGACGCATTGGGAGAGCCCAACTTGGTCGAAAGAATGAAAGAAAATGACGAGGGCCTCGAAACCACCTTTGGGGCATTTAAGTCCATGATGGAACGGCAGCAGAAAGGCGCCGCGGCCATAGGGGAAGTCGAAGAACTAAAGGCAACGATGGATGAAAGAGATAGGGAGTACATGAGGCAATTGGAATTACTTCAAGATGGGCATGGGAGAGAAAAAGCCGAATTGGAACGGCGAAATCATAATCTACTACAACAAAGAGACCAATCCAAAAAAGACTTACAGCAGGCTCTAAGAGACAACGCAGCAGGCAACCAAGAACTCGAGCAATTGCGAGATGTCATAGACAATAATCTCGTGGAAAAGCGTAAGCTCATTGCCGAAGTTAACGTTAAAAGCGAACAACTTAGGCAAATGCGTCAGGCCATCGAAGACTTGGAGGGGCAAATAGAGCGGCAGCGGGAAATAATTGCCGACCAGAACCGCTCCGAAGAGGAAAGGGAGGCTGCCCAAAGGGAACTGGAAACCCTTCAGGAAAGATTCGCGGAATTGCAAACGCAAAAGGACAACCTGGAGCGGGAACTTGGTCTTACCACCAAGGAAAAGGTAAAAAGAGCCCTCATGAAATATGGCGTTCCCCTTGCATTCGCAGTCGCGCGCCATTTCGAGCGTAGTAGGCGTGATCCTATCCGCGCTTAAGGCTACGGGCAATGGCGTAAAGAAATTAGGCAAAGGACTGACGGACTTGGGAAAGAAGATGGCCGCCGGCATTCCCGGGCTGTTGGGTTATGTCGTTTCCTTGGCACTTGGGGCCGGCGGGGAACTATTAAAGTTCGCGGGCAACAACATTTGGATCTTGGTCGTAGCTATCGGGATGGTCCTCCTGAAGAAGGTGAGATCTTAGTCTTATCATCAAGCTCCTTTGATGTCCTGCTTTGAGGATAATGAAAGACAGTATTAGCGCCGCCCTGGTAATTCGGAACTAGCGGCAACACACTCATGGCTCATGGTAGAAATGGGTTTATGACTCCAGGCTGCATTAGCAGGCCTACGACCTATACGATTTATCCCAAACTTACCATCATCAGAAGTGACTTGCAACTTAGCATATTTACAATTGGCTAGCATATGAAAAGTCACTGGCGTTAGGTCTTCAGCTGACCTCGTGTAGGGCTCCATTGAAAAATGGGTAACTTTCCTAGTGTTCGATGAAGTTCGATAAGGAAGCAAAGGCTTATTATTTTCGTCAATAAGTCTGAACCCCACATTTGCATGCGTATTTGCATTAATGCTAATAGTGCAAATGACCAATGCAGTGCCCCCAACTTCAACCCACATACCAACGTCATGCCAAGCAACATTGTCATATCCCTCTTCATCTACGCGATGGGTGTAATAAGTTTCCTTCACGTATGGATTCATATACCATAAGCCTTACAAGCTTACTACCGTAAGAGTGCTAATGGTCATATGGTTATAGATAGTATTCCTTTGATTTTCTATGCTATTTATGCAAACGCTCCCAGTGTCATCTACACGTATTTGCAGCTTTACTTTCCCATGGCAGTCAGCAACTAGGTGAAAAGTCCAAACGGAAAGATTCTCAGCGCTATTCGTTGGCGGCTCTACTGAGAAATGCGTAGGCTCTCTGTTGTTCGTCTTCGCGCGCATGGGCTGTATTACTCCATTGTCATCACAAAAGCGAAATCCTATGTTCGCATTACTAACGGCTCCCAAAGAAAGACTGCATAAGATTAACTTCTTCCCAGAGTAGTTCAAATCTACAGACATCCCCGTGACATCGACCCAAGATGCCTGGGCATATTTTTTCTCGCCTGTGTAAGTCGTATAAACACAATCTACTCCAGCTACGTAGGGGTTGTTCATCGCCATATATAATAACTCAGACCAATGCTTGCAGCCGCTAGGCCGTCCTTTAGTAGGTCGTGGTCATATTCCGTTATGGTTGGTAACGTGGGAACATGCTTCGGCTTAGGCTTGGGCTTGTCAATATGTTCTTTTTTTGGTGGGGATACAAAGTGTGGAGTCCCCTCAAAAGTGTCAGAGTTCACGTCATTCACCCCAAACTTCATATCCTTAGTAGCTTGTTGAAGTTTGTTGTTGTATCCTACTACAGAGCCAGTATCCATGGATAAATTACTAGGCATTAACCAACAACCCGGGGCTACTGCATAGTCCAACCTTGCCTTAGAATTTTGTTTAGCCAGTTGGTAACGCTGTACGCCCTTGCTAATGTCACCCTCCAAGATCGAACTTTCGAATAAGATCAAGGCTTCGGCTCGCGTCTCTTCTGCGGCGCCAGTATTTCCGATTATGCTAGATCGGGTGTTTACCTGAGCTCCAAGRACACAATACACGTAAGCTTCTATKCTACGATTCAACCTGGCAAGGCCAGCCCTAGTTAGTCCTTTACCTACTTTGGGTATGAAATTAAGATATTGCTTTGTTTGCTCGTCGTTGGTAATCTTGATAATCAATGGATTAGCCCCTGCATACTTACCGCCCTCGTCCTTGAACAGAGGTCCGTCTCTAACTACCTTAGTGGTCTTAGCATTTGGTTCAAAGAAGGTGCTACTGTCGTAAGTTACTTTATGATAACCCGTGTTCCGTCGTAGCTGCAATGCATGAACTTCCTTATCGCTAAGCACGTGTCCACCAATACCCCAATAAAACCCAAACATGACCTAGACCATCGTTAGCACCGGCAGTGCATCTAAAGTCTTTTCCCACAACGCCGAACTCCTTGCAAAGCCTGTCATAGGCTGGAACATCGTATTTGTTATCTCTAGGATAAAACGCAGCATCTCCTGGCAATGCAGTAACTCTCATCTCACGCAGTATTCTCCTAATCGTGAAGTGAAAATGAAACATAAATATCGAATCTTTCATCAAGCTTGCACTTACGCCGCAGCCGCTAGTGGCACACCAAACCGCAAAGTTTAGTTGCTGCGGCCAGTATCGCATGTTAGGACCTCTCAACCATTCATGGGATTCCTTAGCGGTGGTATGGATTATGGGAACGTCTTTGAAAATGTCTCGCACTTTAGCAACAAAGGAATGGTTGTTAGAAATCCGCATGTTCAACGTTAGGTCCAAGCTTGGGTGTTCATCAAATGGAACCGCAGGTATCGGATAGGTGCTAGTACCAAGCAATAATTCATTTGGCCAGGCTTAGCAGGCTGCACGGGCTTAGGTTTATGTCGTGGATGCTTCGCCAGCTGAGAGTCTATCTCCTTAACCAGCGTAGGTTTCAAATCCTCATTGCTATACATCCTAGAGCATTGGTAATAAATACCGTCAGGCCTACGCTCAAACTTAGTAGGGTCTGCATGTGGAAACATTTTCCTAAAGGCCCTCCAATTCCAATAATCTCTGTTGTCGTGACGTGGCTGCTCCTCGATGTCATTCCCAAACGCATCGTACTTTAGTACATATAATGGATGTCATACAACCAACTGCTCCACAGTTGTATCCTGCCTTGCCTAACGAATCAAACGCCGAAAACTTCAGGCTTAATAAAGCAAATCTAATACTGTCTTACTTGGACGGGCAGACGAAACACTACGAAAAAGTCAGAAAGAAATATCCCAGAGCCAGGAGTCTATTCCATAAGGTATCCATAACTACAGGATCTCTCTCCGTTGCTTTGGCAACTTCAGGTCTGGCAACCTCTCTAACAGGACCCGGAGCCATCATCGGAATACTTTTGGGGGCCGTTGGAGGAGTTTGTGGCATTATTTCAGCATTTTCGGCGGGGATGACAAAGAAATTATCCACGAAAATATCAAAACACGACACGACGATAGCTCTGTCACGAGCTAAAGTAAATACGATTACCGACCTTGTTTCGAAGGCTTTGCGTGACAGAAAGATAGACGACGTCGAATTCTCGATTATTCTGGCCGAAGAAGAGAAATATGAAAAGCTAAAGTCCGACATCAGAAACCAAAAAACGATCGTCAAGGATCTATCCGAAGAGACAAGGGAAAAAATATTCCAAGAAGCAAAAGAGGAGCTTCAAAGAAAGCTCGCTCAGTAAATATTTGCTTTGAAAAAAGCGAAACAGGATTCTATTTGCATATTGAACGCCAGTCTGGGTCATATGCAAATTAGCTTCTCGCCAAGGTTGTTTACATTCCATTTCCACCTATAAATTTTCCAACTTAGTTCGTAAAAACGCTGGTTGCTATGAGGAAATGGAATGTTGCCGTTGCTGTGACGTCAATTTTTACTGCGTCAGTCGTCTCGGAATCCATCCCAACAGTGGGTGGTTGGGGTCTATTTCGTGGAATATTTCGTAGATTACGTCAGGGTAATAAGGAATATCCTTATCCAGCCGACAAAACATCCACTCGGCCCTTCTCATAGTATCTTCAGAAACCTCGGGAATAGAGTCACCGGTAATTTCAGACAAAAGGTAGGGAATACCTTTCTAATATTTTCCCAGCTTTAATTTTTTTAGCGTTCTTCTTAAACCTTGTGGAGTCGGCTCTTCTAAGTGGTCTATAATCTTTTTCTTTACTTGCTCGTCAAGATATACGGGCTGATAACCTCGGATGTGACTCATCCAGTCCCTAAAGTATTTTATTCTCTTATAAGGTGTTTTTTTACGGCCTCCATTGGCGTAATACTGCTCTTTAGTAGCACTGGGCACGGCATTAGCAATGTCCTTACCACACTCATAACATTGCGACGACGTGTCATCTTCTATTTGCATCTTCTTGCCACAACAAATATATTTCAACGGTTCGGTAAGTTTGAAGCGCGGCCTAAGACATTTCATGCTAAACTGTGTACATTCGTTATTCTTTGCTTGCAATGCACGTCACTTCCGGTCATTATGTATGCATATTTCCAGCTGACGGTCAAGCATTCAGCTGGCGTACAAAGCAATGTATGTGTTTACAAGTTGTCAAAAGAAAATTTTCGTAAAATATGCCCGATTCCTGTTCAGTTTATGGTTGTTCAAACCTATCTAATAAGAAAAAAGAAAAGGGTTTGTTAGAATACCTAAAGAAGTGGTTCACAAGGGAGATCGGACAAGAAATTTATCAAAAAGACGTCGCCACCGATGGCTGCTATCCTGACTTAACAGTACTGTATCTTCGAAAGGAGTTGAATCTTCACACGCTCGTGTATGTAGCGATCACTTCGTAAAAGGTATTTAACAATTCTATATTTGTTTGAGTTTGAAATTCAGATGTTATTTCTTTGCTTTGCACGTGTTGGTTTGTTGTAAACAATGAAAATACGATGATGCTTGTAGAGTGTTTGTAGGTTCGTCGCGTCGTATCGAAGTCTGTTTACTAAACAAATTCTATACATGTATATCTTATCTAGGTYGTCCAAGCAATATAAATGACGAAGATGACATAGATTGGGCCCCTACGTTGAAGCTTGGCCATCAGAAGATAAAACAAGCCACAGAGAGTTCTATAAAGCGCGGTGAGAGAACAGCAAACAGATATCTGAAACGTCTCCATTCCGAAGCTGCTAGTGCCTTGCTTGACTATAAATGCAGAAGCAAGCTCGGCTGATTGATGAAGAAATCTCTTATGAACAAACCATAGATGATCCGCACCTATCAGCCCAAGGTAAAAATATGTAACTTATTTATTATTTACTTCAAAGCTTTGTTATTGATGCCACGATTCCCTTTTTTATTACAGACAGAAACGACAGAAAACCCGAATCGTCAGGATGCAGAATGCCAGACGGATCTGACCAGCGATCTTTTGTGTGCAATAGAAGAGGAGTTAAACATAACACGTCAAAAGCTCTCCGATTTGCCGGCAAAGACATTAAATGAAAATAAAAAACGATGTTTACACTACAAGATAGTTGGAAATGTCCGGGAACTGAAAGCCAGGAAAGGCGGCGAAATCCTTCGAAAAGTCCTTTGGTTTCATAGAATATGGATCAATTCCATCACAGATAGATATTTCGTTTAAATATCTTGACTTGGGTATGCAGTCAAGATAACTAGCGTACTCTGAAAGAGCGCTTTTTGGGGCAGATTGATCGTTAACTTGACCCAAGCGAGCCGCCATCTTTGTTTACTTGACCGTCACTTGGAAACCGGAAGCAAAATTTCAGGCAAATTGTCACGTAATTGCAAGCAAAGAATAGATATTTTAACCTACGTAAATGGGTGACGCGGGTTAGGCACGGGCTTTGAGGGAAAATTGGAATTATGCCTAATGCACCTATCAGCGGCTTCCCCGTGGGGTCGACCCCCGGGTTGACCAGGGAGATGGGTGGGAGAATATAGGAGGATTGAATCCAGTTATTCCCCCTGGGGTTGGGAAAATTTGCGACGTTGGTTTCGTGGCTAAAAACTGAGGTGGGGATTGTAATGAAATTATTTTCATTGCGGAGGTTACCAGGGGGATTGATTTTCCTCTCTAGTTAAAGAAATAGCTCCCATTTTTAAAATTTTGAGACCATGGACGTTTTTGGTCGGGCTGGGTTACCTGTGTTATTTGCCAATACCCAGATGCATCTCTGCTCGTCAAGATGGCTGACGAGGTGAGAGAATTCAACTGTGAAGTATGTTTTTTGACATTCTTTGTTGTTTCATAGATACGAATTCGAAGGCAACTTGATTTTTTTTACTTTTAAATGTGAATTCTTCAATTCATGACAGTTTTTTTCTCTTCCAATCTTTTCAATGAAAAACTACTTGAAATATCGAGCAAACCGCACGAGTGGTTACGTGTTGAGTTCAGTTTTCAAAATACAATAACAATAATTTCAACCAAAATGAGGGAGATTGTCGATTTGAATGCCTCGACCAGGGGACATTGAAAAGAACAACTTCCCTACCCCTGGGAAAAATGATCAACATTGTTTATGAATTTTTACAATCTCCCTGGTCAGCACGGGGGTCGACCCCACGGGGAAGCCGCTGATAGGTGCATAAAAGCCCGTAGATTTGGCGCGGATAAGCCCCGCACCGGCCGCCCGTACGTGAGGACGGCTTTCACCCGTTAGATGGGGTCAGTCTGCCGCGAGTCCCCCTACCTGCTGCTTGTAAGGGATCCATAAGTCGCCCAGACTGCAGGGAAATGTATTGTACCACAGAAATATATTACCTTGTAATTAAACCTTTAGTTAATGCCAAATGTTGATATTTCAGGTTTGTTTCTTTATTGTCTGTAATAAACTGATATTGGGCGACTGCGTTCTACAATAATTAGCAAATTGCCGAATTTCGAGGAAGAAGACATTGTCCGACGATGGTGTAAGCAGGGTGGTAAGTTTAGTGTGATTACCTTATTTTGAATTGATTTAAAGAACCAGGGACAATTAATTATTTATGTCTATATGGGTTGGCATAAATCAAAACTTTTTTTTAATATTACGCGATTTCGAAAAAGTTGTTTTATTCTTCTTATTATAGAGCTATAAATTCTTCGCGCGCGCGGATGGCGTCAGCACTGTGCTCTGTTCACTAATAAGGCACAGTTTCCGCCCAATCAGCGCGCGCGTACTATCCTATGTGCGTTGTATAGCATTGACTTTTCGGCTACGCTGATAGTGGCCAAATGGCTTATTCYTCGTTTGTCTCTTGTGTTTCGGCTTTTATTCTGAATTCAACTGGGCTTTTGCCCAGTTTGTCTAACACAGTATTTGCCACAATCCCACTTCCCGTCAAATAGACACTTATATTAAGTTCACTGAGGCGGAAGTGCTTGATGCACTTTGTGACGAATTGTTGAAGGAATGGTAAATCTTCTAAGTAATTTTCCAATGAGGTCAGTAGTGTTTGCGATGTAGGGCAGGCAAGCAAATCCAATGATCTTGTCTTGTGACACTTTTTTCCAACATCTTTACAGCGGTTTTCGATATTCTGCGAACCAGGTAGTTACAAGCTGCATGCTGTACTTTGTTTTTTCGCTGCCGTCCATCAAAAATAATCAGTTAGTATCTTTTATATTTTTGACTGACAGCAGTGAAAAACCAAATTCACAACAAGCCGTTGGAATGTCTGAGTCGCAAAATATCGAAAATCACAGTAATAAAGAAAATGTCTGTTTGGTTTTAAAAGTTGAATAAACTGGCACATTAAGTTTTAAATAGACGTCCCCTCCTAAAACAATGAGACAACCGATTTCCTGATGTGTGTACGCGTCTCCGCTTTTAATACGAATGTTTTTTTTTTTATTTCATCAGTCAAATCAAAGTGCACGATCATCCAGTGAATCAGAAAGTAACTCTTCAAACGACGAAGTAAGTATCGTAAAGAAAATCAATAATTGATTTTAATTGATTTTAAAAGTTGAATAAACTGGCACATTAAGTTTTTAATAGACTTCCCCTCTAAAACAATAAAACAACCGATTTCCTGTGTAGGCTTCTCTCACTCTAATACGAGTGTTTCTTTTTATACTTTCATCAGTCAAATCAAAGTGCAGAATCATCCAGT